ATGCCCCGCTCCTTCCTGGTGAAGAAGCTGAAAGCGGAGGCGTTCCCGGCCGCCGGGGCCCCTGCGCCCCCCTACGCCCCCCTGGATCCCCCCTACACGCTGCCCGGCCCCGCCGCCGGCGATGGTGAGTGCGGGGCCGGGGGTCCGGACGGGCCCCCCCGCCTCTATTGTCTGTGCGCCCGGCGGGGCACCGGGAGGGAGACACGGGGGGACGCAGGGCAGGACGGGGAGGGGGTCCCCGCGTTGTGTCCCGCAGCGGGCGAGGGGTGCGGGGTGGGGTGTGTCATCCCTCGCCGTCGTCTTGTCCCCCGGCTCCGGGGCCAGCGGCCGCTGCCAAAGTTGGTCCTTGGGGAAACATCCCCTGCGTGACAGCGTCAGCCCCGTGGGCAGCCCCGAGTGCCCCCCGCCCATGGGACAGCGAGGTGGGCTCCTTCCCACGACAAGTTGGGGGGGATAAGAAGCAACCGGTCTGCGGGGGCGGCGGGGGGCGGCGGGGGGCAGCAGCCTCGCCGTGCCGGAGGGTTTCATTGTTCGCAGCGGTGCCCCGAGCCCCCCGGGAGCGCGGGGGGGGCCCGGCGCCGTCCGGGGCGCGGGGAGCCGGGAGAGAGACCGGGGGGTACCCCCAGCATCGGGAGAGGTGCAAAAGGCTGGACCGGGGATGGCCGTGGTCCTTGGAATCCCGTCCTGCGGGGGAACACTGGGGTGGGCTCGGAGTTCCCCGGGCTTGGCACAGCCCTACAACGGGGCAGCCCAGGCACCTGCACAGAAAGAGAGGCTGGCCGTGGGTCAGGGGGGTCTGTTGCATAGGCTGGCGAGTCTTAGCTGCTCGTGGGTCGGGAAACGGAGCTGGATGCGGGAATGGGCCTGATCCACGCACAAGCTGACATTGCACAGCCGCTGCGGCGCTTGTCCCCCCCGTTTCTAGTGCTCCCCAGCCCTTGGTGGGCTTTCCCTGCCAGGGGCCGAGGTGCGAAGCCTGTCTGGTCTGGCGGTCCTCTGCTCGCCCCTATCAACCGGGAGCCGGTGGGGGAGGGATGTGCTGCAGCTGGGCAGAAGCTGCCGACGCTGCTCTCCTGGAAATAACCTTGCTGCATGCTCGGAGGCAGCGTGAGAAATTGCTGAGCAGAGCGCTTTCTGCACAGCCCGCGCTGTCAGCACGGCGCGGGGGACGGGGGGGCCCGGCTCTGCCCCACAGCCCCCTCCCCACAGCGAGCATCCCTGGCCACCACGGGACAAACGGCAGCAGTTGCTTGCCAAGGGGTCCCGTGGGTGCTGCCAGAGGCTGTGTGGATTTAGAGGATGCTCAGCTGCAGCTGTGGCAGGATGTCCCTGCTGCCCCACGGTGTGCATGGGTTAGCCCAGCTAACTGCACTGACCCCAATCCCCCCTCTGTCACTATCAGTGGGGATGAGGCTTCTGAAGCAGCTTGCAAGGACCAACGTGCACAAGGCAGGGGATTGCTGGGACCAATCCAGGGGTCTTGGGGTGCCAGTATGTCCCCAGAATTGCTGGTCTCATGGGAAGGGGGCTGCACTGCTGCTCCTGCTGTCACCTTTGTGTGACAGCACAGAGGGACTGGGATGCCAATGCAGCGCCCACTCTGACACGGGCTGGGAGACCCATATACAAAGCAGTGTCATGAGCAGACTTGCACCAATGTCACATGCGTGTGACACAGTGGAGTGCTACCCGAGCCTAACTCCACACCTGGGGGGCTGTGCATCGCTCAGCTTGGCAGCAGGCCAGGGACTTGACCTGGTGCTGCTGTCCTCCTGGTGCTGTCCCAACTCCAGGGAACAGGCTCTGCGGAGACAGCAGAGAGGTGGGGCACTTTCCCAGCCCCCTTTGCTGAGGAAGGCAAACCTGGAGCAGCCTCATCCCCCCCATCCGGGCTGCCCACGGAGCGTAGAGCGTAGCTCATTACCGGCATGGCCCCGGTGAACAATGAGCTCCCGGCACCGACAGCTGTCTGGCAGCTAATAGCCCCTGGGGGCTGCCCGCAGCCGGGGCAGGCGCAGCTGGACGTTCTGCAGCTCCATCCCCAGTTCCCATCCCCAGCAGCCCTGCAGGATGGGACCCATCCTGCTGACAGATGCAGACAGGAGCCAGGGCAGGACAATGCAGCACTGGTACTCAGTGTCTCCGCAGGGACAGGAACCAGTTGGCGGGGGACAACTCTGGTTCTGCACCTTCTATGGGAAATTTTAGCTTGTGGCTTTTTCCTCTCCCTGGTGAAGCTGCTCTGGAGGGACGATGACCCCACTGTGTTGTTTCCACAGGGTACCTCCAGCACTGCCTGGCGCCAGCCGGCTATGACACTGACAAGAAGCAAGGCCTGCCACCACCGCCACCAGACCCAGCCTACGCACCTGGCCACGAGGAGTACAGCGATCCCGAGAGCCCCCAGTCCAGCTTTTCCGCACGCTACTTCAACGGGGAGGCGGCAGTGACAGACAGCTATTCCATGGATGCCTTCTTCATCACGGACGGGCGGTCGCGCCGGCGCAGCGAGAGCCAGCGCCGCGGCAGCCACCGCCACTCCTGCCCCGAGTGCGGCAAGACCTACGCCACCTCCTCCAACCTCAGCCGGCACAAGCAGACCCACCGCAGCCTGGACAGCAAGATGGCCAGGAAATGCCCCACCTGCGGGAAGGCGTACGTCTCCATGCCCGCCCTGGCCATGCACGTCCTCACCCACAACCTCAAGCACAAGTGCGACGTGTGCGGCAAAGCCTTCAGCCGGCCCTGGCTGCTGCAGGGCCACATGCGGTCCCACACCGGGGAGAAGCCGTTCGGCTGCTCCCACTGCGGGAAAGCCTTCGCCGACCGCTCCAACCTGCGCGCCCACATGCAGACCCACTCCGCCTTCAAGCACTACAAGTGCAAGCAGTGCGAGAAGACCTTCGCCCTCAAGTCGTACCTCAACAAGCACTACGAGTCCGCCTGCTTCAAGGGCTCCGAACACAGCTGTGCAATAGGGAACTAGCCCCCCAAGCCCTGTGGCACATCCCCATTCCCAACCTCATCCTTCTATCCAATCCCCTCCCCGTCCCCATCTCATCCCATGCCCATCCCTATTCCCCTGTAAATCCCATACTGTCCCCATCCCCATCCCATCTTGGTCCCAGTCCCTGTGCCAGCACTCCTGCAGCTGCAGCCAGCTGGTTTGTTGCTGTGCTGAGACTGGACGATACATCCCCACAGACTCACTCCCCATCTGCTCCCTGGGAAGGGGGTCCCCAACAGTGGGACCCAGCTCCTTTCCTCTGGGTCCCAGAGCCCCCCCCGCAGCCAGGCAGGTCTCTCTGCGGGGGACTCACCTGGGGACCTCTTCCCAACCCAGGAGAGACTTTCCTCCCCTAGCTTGTGATTTTCACCTCTATTTATTTAATTTATTACTATTATTTATTTAGAGCTGCTGCTTCTCTTCCCGGGGGATCCCGGGAGAGAAAAGACACTTTTCTGCTCCCCGCTAGGAGCAAACCCTCCCCTCGACCCTAACCTTGATGAAACCACGGGCTGGCGTTACTGCCAGCTCGGCAGGACTGATGGCCACTGAGGCTGACAGAGGGCAGGGCTGCCAGTCACCCTGGGAGCCTCGGGTCCCTGCAGCCCACCACACAGGGCACCCGGCTGCCCCTCTGCCCTGTGCCACAGCGTTCACCCTGGCACTGCAGATCCGCAGCCCTGGAGTCAGGGGAAGAGCCAAGGGAGGAGCCAAGGGAGGAACCAGGGGCTTCCAGCAGAGATCACAGGACATGACCTCCATTGGCTCGCAGCTCCTGGCTTGGCCAGGCACAACTTGTCCCTGCCACGGTGATGGGGAATAGCCCCTTCAGGCAGGTGTAGCCCCCCTCCCCATGCAAAGGGCTGGGCTGGCAGCTGGGCTGGAGACCCAGCCCTGGGGCAGGTAGTACCCGAACCCCCAACCACCCCCCATGTATCCCCAGCCCCTTCTCCAGCCGGCTCCCGGCTCCCTCGCCATTGCCCCCCACCTGCACTCAGGAGGAGGGGGTCAGAGTAGCTGTAAAGTTTGGGTGAGTCTATTTAAATGTTCTTATTTATATTATTTATAACTTATGCTTTTCACTATTTATTTGTCAAGACTGGCCGGGCCATGCCAGCGCTGGCTCGCAGGAGGTGGCAGAGCTGCAGCAGAAGTGCCATGCCCAGGACACAGCCACGGTGACACGGACGGGGACAGGACCCCGAGAGCGGACTGTGTGGCGGGCACGGAGGCAGGAGGGCACGAGCCGACCCGGCAGCCCAGGCTCCACGTCCTGCAAGCCTCCCACAAAGGCAAAGCCCTTCTCATTTGTCTTCCTTGCTTCCACGAGCTCCTGCTTTGCTCCGTGCCCCGCGCCAGCCCAGTGGGGACAAACCAGCCACTCTATGCAACCTCCCGGCGGAGCACCCCCGCACCGGCCCCGGAGCAAGCTCCGCGCTCGGCATTCCGGAGCGGGGCCCGACCCACGCCTCCGCTTCCTACCTCGGGCCGCGAGCTGCCACAGCCCCATCACCCCGTGCCGGTCCCCAGCACCTGGGGACTCAGCCCGGCACCCCGCGGGGCCGCACTCGCGCACCCCCACACCGTCTTCCTGCGCCGTCTTCCTCCCTCCACCGTCTTCCTCCCGCTGCCTCGGTGCCTGTGTTGGTCACGGCTTGAGTGGGGATGTCCATGTCATGGTCCTCGCTGCCATGGCACGGTGACCACACGTCCGCACCCCACAGAGGGGATGAGCATGGCCCCGGCCACGCAGGCACCCCACCGGGTTTTCCCCACGATGCCGGCGCCGTTCCGCGGAGCACGGTGTCCTGAGGCCGGCAGGCTCGGAGCGCTGCGCCGCTGCCCCTCTCTCCTGTAAATAGCAGATACTACAGCAATAATTTTCCGTGCATGATAGATTTTTTCTGCCAGGTTTTGTACTCGCCAGCCCCAGTATGACAAGTCTACTGAGATCCGGCCACCCGCAGTATTACTTGTAATGCAATTCAGGGATATAAAAGGGATTTCTGCCACTAACCATGTGTCTTGGGAGATTTGTGTCGGCGGTGGCGGGTGGCGGCACGCGAGCTGCCACCCTGCCCATCCCACGGTACCCTGTGCCCACGCCCACTCCTGGGCTGGAGCATCCTGGAGGGAGCTGCCCCAAACAGAGGGATGATGTCCTGGCAACCTGTTAGAAACGGGTGGCTGAGACACCCTGAGCATCCCACGCTGCCACGTGGCTCTGCCAGCCCTTCAGCCAGTGGGCAGCAGCCAGACAACCCCTGCTGTGACAAGGAGGGGTTACGATGCCACCCTGGTCGTGAGAGCGCCGGGGGCTGTGAGCGCGGCGGGGCGCTGACCTGGAAGTAAAGCGGCGTGTGAAATCCCGGCAGCGGCGGGCAGCCCGGCGAGGGCGCCGGTAATGCTCACACAGCCCCGGGGCGCCGCTGCGCGGGATGGGGAGGATTCCGTGAGCAAATTTTATTTGAACTCCCCGGTGACGACAACTCACTAGAGCCCCTGCTCCCAGGGGCAGACAGGCATTCCTGCTCCCCACCCCTATTTCCTCATCCTTTCCCAGATGTGGGTGCTAATGGGGGAAGGCAAATTATTTTTAGCATCCAGCTTGTCAGTAAAGACCTAGCTGAGCCCTGGGCTCCCAGTGACATCAGTGCAATCTTTCACGCACAAAGTCATTACCAGATTCACCTTGCAAGAAACTAATTCCAGAGCCTCACAAAACCATCCCTGACCATCATCTGCATGCTTCCAAGTCAGCTCTGGGGCTGAGGACCCTCCATGACACCAGGGAGGCAGGGTGAGGGCACTGGGAGCAGCCATCCCCTGTCATCGTGTCCCCGCTGTGTATACAGGGTGCCCCGGCTGCAGCAGCCAGAGGGGTGGGAGACCCAGTTCCTCCCGGGAGCCTCTCCCCGTTTGGAACACCGGTCTGAAGAAATGACCTAGAAAGACTCAGGGCTGAAGTTCTTTGATGCCCGCCCAGCTGTGGAGCATCCCAGCATCACTGCTCAGCTCTGCAGTTGTTTCATGCCTCATCTTCCTTGCTGTGAACCCCATAGGCATCAGCGCAGCAGGGAGGGGGCTCTGGGTTAGGAACGTGTTCCTGGTACAACCAGGCAGGCGGGGGGGGGACATACCCCAAATCTCAGCTGCGGGATGATCCTTAGTGGCCCAGCACGGCCAGGTGGGACCCGAGACCCCAAGGGGCAGGACAGGGACCCCCAGCACTCGTGGTAGGGGCTCGGCTGCCGCGTGCCCAGGGGTGTCCCACGGGAAGCAGGAGCCGAGGGCAGCCCTGGCCGCAGGCTCTCCGGGGCGGGCAGCGGGCCAGCCGGCTCTGGCACCCGGCCCGGAAGTCTGTCCTGCCCCTTCCCTGTGACTCTGCAAAACAGTGGGGCGGAGGCCGTGACGATGACGATGGCTGGGCAAGGAGGAAGTAGAGGGGTACGACTGGGCGCTGCACTGCTCGGGGCAGAGCGGAGGGCTCGGCTGAGCAGGACAGAGGAAAGCCAAGGCCGGCTGGCAGCCACAGCCATGGAAGAGGCTGAAGACAGGAGCATCCATACCCAGCACATCTCGGCCGTGCACAACGTGCCCATGCGGGTCCTCATCCGGCCCATCCCGGCAGTGCTGGAGCCGGGAAAGGTGCAGAGCCTGATGGAGACCCTGCAGGTGAGCACAGCCCCCGGGATGCAGAGGCAGCCCCTCCTGCAGCCGTTCAGAGGGCACTGCTGGGGAAGCTGTCAGCACCCAATCCCTGGCACAGTCCGGTCGGGGGGCGTCAGGGAAGGTTGGGAGTGGCGGGGTGTGTTGCTCCTGCATGTCTCTTCCTCTTCCCCAGGAGGATCCCGAGCGGGTGCCCCCCATCGATGTGCTCTGGATCAAAGGCAGTGAGGGCGGCGATTACTTCTATTCCTTCGGGGGCTGCCACCGCTATGCTGCCCACCAGGCACTCCGCCGGGAGACCATCCCCGCCAAGATCATCCCCTCCACCCTCAGCGACCTCCGTACCTACCTCGGCTCCTCCACGCCTCACCTGCGCTAGCCCAGCACCCCGAGGATGCCCATCAGCCCCTTCTGTCCCTGTTGGTTCCGACCCGTGAGCCCGTGATGAGGATGTGGTCGGCGTCCCCAGCCCTGGGGAGTCCCCGTGGTCCCTCCAGCCGGGAGAGGTCAGGGTCCCCAGAGTTGTAGGGTCTCCGGGGTTCCTCCAAGGGGGATAAGGTCAGGGTCCCCACACTTGGAGGGTCCCCGGGGTCCCGGCAGCCGGGACGGGTCAGGCTCTCGCCGGTACCGGGAGGCGTCCGGCGGGGCCGGCAGGTGGCGCTATTGTGCCGCGCTGCGCCGCCCGGAGCGACCGCGCGGACCGGGACGGGCCGGGAGGAACCGGGATGGGGGGAACCGGGACGGGATGAACCGGGATGGGGGGAACCGGGACGGGAAGAACCGGGACGGGATGAACCGGGATGGGGGGAACCGGGACGGGAGGAACCGGTTTGGGGTGGGATGAACAGGAGCATAGCGCAATCGGGAATAGGTGAACTGTGATGGAACAGGCTAAACCGGGGCACGGCTCAACCGGGAATAGCTGAACCGGGATGGAATGGGCTTAATCGGGGCATGGCTCAAGCGGGAATGGCTGAACCGGAGCACACTGGAACTGGGACAAGTCACAGCTCATTCGGGGCACAGCTGAACCGGGAAGGGGTACGGTTAAACTGGGACACAACAGAATCAGGACACAGCGAAGAGACACAGCCAACCTGGCATGGTCAGTCCCCAGCCCTCCCTCAGTGACTCTGGGCTCACCAGTGGTCCCAGTCTCCGTGGGGAACATCTCCAAAACCCAGTGGTGGGGACAGCCACTGCCGCTCCTGGAATAAAGATGGTCAAAACCCCTGGAGCTCCTTGGCGTGGTGCTTGCGGGTGCTGAGGTTGGGAGCAGGAAGTGGTCCAACATGGCACAAGATGGCACAGCACGGTGATCTGGCACCAGCAGGAGAAGTGGCTGTGGGCACACAGAACAAGGACACAGGCTTTGCAAGGAGATGGATGTTCTGCAAGGGAATGGATGCTGTGACAAGACAATGTTCTGCCAGCCCACCGTGCCATGGAGCTGAATTCAGGGTCAGCTCTGGTCCAGCTGTGGGGACGCATGTGGTCCTGCCATGCTGGGATGCTGTAATTTCTGCAAGCACCACATCGTCACCCCACGTGCAGCCTGGAAAAATCGCCTCGAGCATCCCCTGGGCATCCCAGCATCCCTCTAAGTCGAGAGCCTCCATCCAGGGAGGGGAAAGGCCACTGAGTCACTCACCACGCCGTGAGTCAGCAGGAGTGGGACGGGAAGTGCGGCCGGGCTTTCTGCCCCATCAGCCATGCTCCTCCCTGAACGGATCCTGTTCCCCTAAGGCAGAAACGAGCTGGGAGAGAAGGGCACGGCCGGCTTGTTTGAGTGGCAGGAGCTGGCAGCGCTGGCATCGCACACGGCACAATTTACCGCTGCCTCCGCGTTTCCGCAGGATCCACTGGGGAGGAAGAGCAGGGTGGGCTGGGGGTGCTGGATGAGGGGAAGGGACGGAGGGGGACTGCATGAAAGCAGCTGTGTGCCGGGAGGAAGCCCTGCAAGCACTCACAGAGAGCAGCCCTGCTCCACGGCTCCCTGATGGGCCATAAATTTCTCCTAAGAATTGTGGCGTGCTAAAAAGTTTCCTCTTGTTAGAGTGCAGGGGGTGGAGGGAGGAGGTAGCAGCTCCTGTGGCTGCCCCTGGAGCAATGTGGACATTTCCAGACTGCCCCCAAACGGGTGTCCCATGGCAGGGACTGTCTGCCCAAACCCTGTGTGCCCCCACTGCTGGGCATCTCACATGAACTCTGTTTGCCCCACTCTCCCGGTCTAAGAGGCAGCTCACCAGAGCTGGGAATTCCACAAAATGGGAATTAACTGAGGCTGCCCTGATCCTGCACCTCTGGAAGTCATGGAGGCCTCTTCCAGTTGGGAAGCCTGCTGCAGGATCTGCTTTTGCAGCTTACCATCCCCTGCAAACAGTGCCAAAGGTTCTCAGGGTGTCCTGACATCACTCCCAGGGATTCCGGGCACTGGAGCTGTGTCCAAGGTGCTGCATGAACATCTCCAGGGCTGACCGGTGCATCCATGGGGCTGGCATGGTGTGGGCAGTGGGAGCTGGTTCCCAGCAGGGGCTGCTGGTGCCACAATTCCCCAGCTGGCACAGGAACGGGTGTCTCCAGAGCCCTGCATTGCCTCCATCTATCCGTCCTCCACCTGTCCCCCTTCCCTCTGCCTGACCCGCGGGGTCTCTGGTGTCGCCGGCTGACAGCCGATCCGGCTGCCTCCAATCCATTCGTTCCAGGGCAGGAACAAAGGCGCTTTGTGGGCTCCCCCCAGCCCGGGCAGGGTGGGGAGGGGTCCCAGCTCCGGAACTGGGACAGACTTCCCCGCGCGACAGGCGTGTAATGCCTTCCAGACCAGCAGCCCCAGCCCTCAGGTACAGCCTGGGGAGCAGGGGGGGCCTGGTGCTTCCCACACTGCCTGGGAACCCACCAGGTCACCCTGATACAGCCCTGATCCAGGAAAATGGGGAAACTCTCCTGTTCCCCCAAATGTTTCACAGTGCCCAGTCCCCATGGCACGCACTGCTCCTCCCCACCCAGGGGGCTCCAGGGGCTCCAGAGGCTCACAGATTTGCCATCTCTGGTCTGCCAGTGTTGGGAAGCAGGGATAGACTCCCCTGGGACAAGACCCTTGCCTCACTGGGCTCAGCTGGACTCGGACACTGTGTGTGCCCAGCTGGACAGGACTGTGTGTGCCCAGTGCCAAGGTCTGGTCAGGGTCTGTGGATTTGGGGCACTGAGTAGGGTGGGATGGGGTAGGATGGTGTGGATGGGTTGTGGTGGGATAGGATGGGACAGGATAGGAGAGGGTGGGATGGGATGGAATGGGATGGGGTGGGGTGATGTGGAGATGAATGGATCAGTCCAGCATTGCTTCACCAGGGCTCAACAGGGTCAGGCCCAGTGTCCTGGTGGCCACATGTTCCACCACTGCCGCGGGTCTGGAATCCATTTGCCTCACCGGCTGTGGTGTTTTCCCAGCAGGGCTGGAGCATTCCCGTGGGGCCGGGGGCAGCCCTGGCCCCTGCCCCATCTGCTCCCTGTTTATTTTCTTACACTTAAGTATCACCTCGAAGATAAACACTCCCTGGTGTGGGGGGCAGGGGGCATTTCCCTGGCAGCAGAGGCAGGACCCAGCCCTCAGGGTGCCCAGTACCCTGACCCCACAATCCCACCAAGCAGGAGATGCCTGGTTGACTGGGCTCAGGGCTACAACCCCATGCTCAGGCCATGTCCCCTCCATGCTGTATGTCTCATGCAGGGTCCCATGAATGCCTGAGCCACTGCCTGGTGCTGCCCTCTGCCCAGGGGTCGGCTGGATCAGCTGGGAGAGCTGTGATGCCAAACCACACCACGTCCTGGCACCCACCCAAGCTGGCAGAAGGTTTGTGCTGTCACAGCCTCAACTGCACCCCGCATTGCCCAGCTGAGTCAGAGCCCAGGCCGCAGTGCTGGGGGAGCTGGGGGGGCCCAGGCACAGGGCTCACGTCCTGTACCAGACGCCTGCCAGGCAGCACAGGAAAACCCGGCTGCTGCCGCGCGTCCTCCTGCCCCGCAGCCGCAGCATCCGCAGGAGCTGCTCAGGCAGGGAGCCGGCAGCGTTCCCTGCTTCCCATGGCTCCTGCTGCTCTCCCAGTCAGGGACGACAGCTCCTGTCCATCCATCCTTCTGTGTGCAGCATCTGGCAAGGCGGTGGTCACACATACACAGGTCTGTGCCAACATGGAGGTGTCACTGCAGCAGGAGGTGGTGGCATTCGGGGTTTATATGGCACCCACAGGCACACACCCACTTCCACGTGCAACTGCACAAATGTGCACACAGCCTCACACTCACATACATCCCTGTGCACGCACACACGGATATACACACCATGCATGCTTGGATGTACAGATGTGTGCAGCTGCACACCCACACACTCACTCATGTGTGCACACACGTGTGCTGTCCCCACCCCACATTGAGCCATCTCCTGTCTGCTGCTCCTTCCCTGCCTGTGCCCTGCCATGTTCCAGACCCCACAGACCACCAGCACCCCACACGTGGTCGTGCCCCCCAGAAAAGCCCAGGGGCAGTTTGGCTGGGTGTGGGGACTGGGTGACCCCCCCAGCCTGTCCTGGTCAGCTGGTGGCCATGTGTGGGACGTGCAGCTGAGTACACAGCCCCTGCCATCCGTCTTACCACCTGTCAGGGCCTGTGGACCCCCAGCCATGGCTCAGCAAGACTCTGGGGTGAGAGGGGGGCAGAGTGGGTGTTCCCCTCTCTGTAGAGGCATCTGCCTGTTCCCTGCCTGCTCCCTGCCTGTCATGCCAAGGGCCTGCCCATCCCCAGCTTTGCCTCTGGCACTGCTGGCACGTACCCTGTTGTGGGGTCTGCACTTGGGCAAATGCTACAGAAGTCCCCTCATGGGGACTGATGCATGGTGAGAGCTGCCAGTGTGGACACAGTGCAGGCCTCTGCCCATTTTCATCCCCGGGAGGATCCCTGTCCTCTTGCTCAGCCCTGCATGTCCCCAGCTCCTGGTGTGGCCCTGCATGTCCCCTGCTCCAGTGGGACCCCTGGCCCTTGGTGCAGCCCTACATATCCCCAGCCCCAGCGAGACCACCAGCCCCCAGCCCATCTCTCTGCCCCCCACTGCGTGATTTACAGGCTCTGCACAGGCAGACAAATGGTGAAGGAAAACAGGGCAGGGGTTCCCGCCGGCCGGGGACTGCTGTGCCCCACGGGGGGCAGAGGGGCCGTTTGCTCACAGCCAGCAGGACAGGAGGCACTGAAGTGGTGCCTGTGCCAGGCAGCACAGCTGTCCCTGTCATGGTCCGGCAGCCACAAGCCCTGGAAGCACTAGGAGAGCCCATGTGGGGACCCAGACACCAGGAGTCATACCACAAACTGCAGTCCTGCAACCATATCATTTTGCCCATGGGGCACTGAGGAAGATGATGCCACCCCATGACCCCCAGGGCAGCCCACTGACCACCTCACTGGGGTTTGTGATATGCCAGCTGCATTCCATGGCCACTGTCTCAGCCCTGGCAAGACTCCAGGATTTCCCCCAGCATCCCTCTCTGGCTGTGGAGCTTCTGGACTGTAGGGACTACAGCTGGCACTGCCAAGTCTCCCAGCCACTTCCCCAGCAGCCCTGGGCCCGTCCACCAGGAGCCAGGTCCTGCCCTACACATGTTTTTGCCGCTTGACCTGCATCATGCCTGGAGCATCGTGGAGGAGGAGGAAGGGGAGGAAGGCAGGCTTGAAGCCTCCCGTCTGCTTGGTTCAGCTGGCTACCCCCCTGCCTGCTCCCAGGAGCGTTGGGCTCAGGCCTGGGGGGCTGAAGGCAGAGTGGGACCCACATTGACCTCGCTGGCGAGGAGGAGCAGGGCCATAGTCTGTGGCATTGAGTGCCAAGGAATGACAAGGAGCGACGGTCAGGCTGGGAGGCACCCCCAGCCCTTCCCAGGACACCGGTGATTCCTGCTGCTGCCAGCTCATAGCTCCCCTCTCAGGAAAAGACTCCGTGTTTCCACTGCCGGCACACACCTTCCTCCTGAGCGGGAGGAAATGCTCCTGGCAGCGCTGCCGACAGCACTGCCCGTGCCTCTCCATGTCTCCCTGTCACCTCCCATGATGGCAGGCACCGGGAACAGAGGAGCAAGGAGTGCATCCCTGCAGGGCTGCCTGCCCTTGCTGCTCCCTGACTGCTCCAGGCATCCTCCTGGGCACAGACCCTGTCCCAGTGGGGCATAGCAGGTGTGGGCAGCAGCGTGTCCCCCACTGGCATTCCTCTGATAAACACCCCAGGTACTGCACCAGCGCCACCCACTCGTGGTTGCCTTCCCCATCCCGGCTCCTGCACCCCAGGTTCATCTCATGCCACCCTGTGCGGGACCCAGGGCTGGCAAGCGGCAGCCAGGCAGGGGCTGGGGACACGCTGGCTCTGCGCTGACTGCGTGTGACATTGCCCTGCAGCTGCCAGACTCCAGGCACCGGGAGCACTTGTCAGACAGCGGCCCTGGCACTGCCACGCTTCATTTAGCTCCGTGGGCACGACCTGGGGTCAAGGTGGCCGCAGCCAGGCCAGCGTGCCGCAGCGGGGCCAGGCTAGCGGCCAGAGCCAGCACCGGCTGAGGACGCCGGCCGCTGGCCGGAGCTCGGGGGCCGGCTGGGGGTGGGCTCCGGAGCCAGCCCCTCCCCGGCCGTATAAATGCCCATTCCCCCTGCAGACAGCCGTCCCAGCCCCGCTCGGAGCGGCCGCGGGAAGGCGTCCGGAGCCGGCGTCGCGGCTGTGCCGGCGGGGGAAGGCTGCCCGCAGCCCGGGCTGCCCCAGCCGGGCCGGGGGTGCGGGCGGGCACCCCGCCATGGCCTTCACCATGCTGCGCCCCGTGGCCGCCCGCGTGCTGTACCCCGACCTCGGCATGCTCTCGGAGGACGAGGAGAACCGCAGCGAGAGCGACACGTCGGACCAGTCGTTCGGCTGCTGCGAGGGCGCCGAGGCTCGCCGCAAGCTGCCGCGGAAGCCGGGCCCGATGGTGATGGTGAAGCAGAGGCAGGCGGCGAACGCTCGGGAGCGGGACCGGACCCAGAGCGTCAACACGGCCTTCACCGCCCTGCGGACCCTCATCCCCACCGAGCCCGTGGATCGGAAGCTGTCCAAGATCGAGACCCTCCGCCTGGCCTCCAGCTACATCTCCCACCTGGCCAACGTGCTGCTGCTGGGCGAGGGCTGCGAGGACGGGCAGCCCTGTTTCAGTGCCATCTACGGCACCAAGGGCGACCTGGACAGCAAACAGCCCCGCAGCATCTGCACCTTCTGCCTCAGCAACCAGCGGAAAGGGGTGAGCGGGGTTCTGGGTGGGTTAGGGTTCTTCCTCCTCTTACTGGCCTGAGTGGGGTTCAGCATGTACCCAAGGGAGGGGGGGAAGCAGCCCCTGCCTGGGCTGCGCGGGGCAGGAGACTTGGCATGGCTCAGTGAGAACCACAGCTTCTGGCTCCAGCTCCCACTGGAGGTTTTGGCTGCTCCTGGCCAAATCCTGCTTGTAGCCACACGCCTACAGCTCCTGCTCACGTCAGAGGGCTGGGCTGCTCCCCCACGTCCATCTGGGCTGGGAGGTCTCAGGGGTTAAACAGTCACCCTGGAGCTGGCAGCACTGGTCGTCCCAGTGGGGCTTAGAGTTCGCTGGCTGACCCCTTCTCCATCCCCATCCTCATCCTCATCCTCATCCTCATCCCCATCTCCATAACCAACCCTGCCAGCCCACCAGCACTGCAGCAGGGCTACTCCAGCAGCTCTCTGATGTGATGAGGAAGGAAGAGCCCAGCAGACACCCCCTGAGGGGGCCCAGACAGAGTTCCCCATCCAGTGTTCCCATGCAAGGTCTGCTGGCAGCACTGGCACAGCTCCCACATGGCTGAGCTAGGCCATGGCAGAGCACCCCTGCCCTGCCCACCCAGCTGATTCCCCCCAGCACCCTGCAGCTCAAGGGTGATGAGCCCACCCTTTCACCAGGGTGGTGAACCCACCCTGCTGCCCATGCCAGGGTATGCTTGACCCAGGAATAGCTGTGCAGGATATAGGGTGCAGGGTGAGGGGCTGGAAGCTGCCGGACCTCTTGGACATCCCTTGGCAGGGCTGTAAGCAGGGGCTGCTGTCCCCACAGACCCTCAAGATGTCCCATGTGTGACTCCAGGCAGTACAGCCATGGGTCACACTCCAGCCCTCAGAGCTTTTTCACATTTTGCTGCTCCATTTTATTGCTTCTTTGCTCCTGCTACCCCCATCAGCAGCCTCTCCAGCCCTCCTGGAGTCCTCCAGGCCTGGTCCCTGGCAGAGCTGGGATCCTCTGGGCTGCTTCCTGGGGCTGAAGCCAGGGGTCTGGCACAGTGCTGGATCCCCCAGGGGACCCTGTGGAGGCACTGGGGCTGGGAAGCTCCTGCTGGAGGGCAAGGGGGGAAGCTGGGTTGGGATCTGACTCTGCATCCCAGCCCTGAGGCTGGAAAGGGGCTGTACAGGGCTGGAAATGGGCAGGGCTGGAAAGGGGCTGTACTGTGGTGGAAATGGTCTGGAAACGAACTGTACTGGACCGTGCTTGGCCGTGCAAGGCTGGAAATAGGCTGGGTTGGAACTGGGCTCTGTTGGGCTCTGCTGATCCATGCTGAGTTATTCTGGAATGTTCTGGGCTAAATCTGGACCATGCTGGTCTGTGCAGGGTTATACTGGGCAGTACTGGGCTGATGTTGCTCTCATAAACTGTGAGGTAGGACTGACTCTCCCCATCCCAGTTTGGACTCTGTCTGTCTTTCCAGGGCTGTGGGTCTGTCTAGGGTAATGTGTCTGTCCTGGGGTGATACTGGCCCTTGCTGCAGGTCTGAGCCCTGCGGTGCTGCGCAGCCATGGGGGCTGTGTCCTGTAGGATGGCAAGGCCAAGGGGGACCCACCCTGGGGCTCCAGCACAGCACCCACCTCCCAGCCACACACCCAACCATTTGTCAGGCATAGCCCCATCTGCCTGTGTGTCCACTCCAGGCAGCACAGAGCCACCTCAAGACTGAGCCACTGCCCATCTCACAGCGGGTCCCATGGAGGAGCTGGTGTGGAGGACAGTGGGCAGGAGCGGAGTGCCCCCCACCCAGACACCCCATGGCGCCTGCAGCTCTCCCTCCTCTCTCTGCAGGGCAGTCGGAGGGACCTCGGGGGCAACTGCCTGAAGGTGCGAGGGATGACGCCCCTGCGAGTGTCGCGGAGATGAGCCGGGGCCCGGCAGCGCCCACCTGAGACAGCGGCAGAGGCAGACGGAGCCCGCACACGCCAGCCCAGAGACCGCAGCGGGGAGGGAGGGAGCTGCTCACCTGAGGCGGCAGCGGCCGAGCCCAGGCTGGCACCACACCGACACTGGCCCTGGAGCCGGCAGTGGGGCGGGAGGACGCTCCCGTGGCCGAGGCTGCCCACGCGGGGCAGGGCCGGGGAGGGGGGTCCCCGCGCCCCGGGGCTGGACTGGAAGGGGCCTGTGTGCGGCCGGCGTCGAGGCGCTCCGGGGGGACAGTGTCGTGGCCCTGGGGATGCTGGTTGTGCACGTGCAGCTGCTTGGAAAATAAAATCTTATTTTTCTGATGGGCCGGTGCCTGCCTCTCACCCCTGTGTGGGGTGAGGTGGGGGTCCCCAAGATGGGTCTGGACCCCCAGCCCTGCACTGCTGCTCTGTGCCGCTGGAACCAGCGTGACCATGCCAGCCCTACCCACAGTGTGACCATCCCAGGCTGTGCCACAGTGGGATCCACATGGGTAAGAGTCCTGGGTGAGCTGTCCCTGTGTCCTCAGGTCTTGATGACAGCTTTAGCCCCACAAAGGCTGCAGAAGTCCCAAGGGGGTCAGTGCCATGCCATGGGATGGGGATGGCACTGCCAGCCCCATGCTGCAGCCGCGGGTGCCCAAGTGGTGGGTCAGGGTTGATGTAACTGCTTTGGTGCCCTGCCCTCCACCTGGAACATCATGACAGGCGCAATATCACTGCCACTGCAACTGCCACCATCGTCACCGCTGCCACCAACGCTGTGACTGCCACCAGCACAATGACTGTCCCCGCTGTGACTGCTACTGTGCTACCGCCACTACAATGACCATGCAGAGCCTTGCATGGTGGGGCTGCAGGCAGCAGCACCTGCATGGGGTCAGGTGGGGACATGGGGGTTCCCAGGCCAGATCCCCACATGGGATTCTGCTTGGCTGGCTGGGCGGTGCAGATCGCTGAGCCTGGGAATGGTGCTGTGCCGGGGCTGGCGGCTCCCAGGGGCCAGCGTGTCCCACGGAGCAGAGGCAGCTGTGGATGGGGCGGCTGGGGGCTCCCCCCAAGGGCTGAAGAACTGGAGCTGCCCTATCTCCCTAGGGTCCTGAAGCCAACATGGAGCAGGGGGAGCACGCTGGGGGTCCCGCTGGAGCCTGCCCCGGGCAGGGGCTCTGTTGGGAGCCCACAGCACCTCTTGGCCCCCTGCTCACCGAGGTGAGCCTGCCCCGGGCTCCCTCCCCCGGGTTTGATTTATGGAGCTGACAGCGCAGTGCAGCTGTGAGAGCTGGTCCCAAGCAGGGACCGGGGTGGGTGGGAGAAGTTTGTTCTCAGCGTGGCTAATGTGTCCCAGACCCCAATAAACAGCCGTGAGATTCTCCAAACAGCCCAGGACACAGAATCCCTGCCCCTGGGTTTATCGGGGGGCAGGGGCCATAGGGGATGCTGTGCTCTGCAAACAACCCAACCCGCACATAAAAGGGGACAGGCCTCATGAAGCAGCAGCTCTGGAGCCCCCAGGGGGTCAGCGAGGGCTGGTGGTCCAAGTGCTGGGGGCACAGCAGGTCCCAACACTGAGTGTATAGGTCCCAGTACATCCCAGTGCCAGCAACTGGAGCCTCAACAAGCTCCAGTATGAAGGCCATGAGCCCCAGTGAATCCCTGCACAGGAGCTGTGCATCCGGTATGTGCCACTGCCAGAGACTAGAGCTCTAGAAAGCTCCAGTAAAAACGCCATGCATCCCAGTACATCCCAGTGCTGAGGCTGTGGGATTCAGCATGTCCCAGTGCTAGGGCCATGGATGTCAGCACACCCCAGTGCCAAGGATGGCACAATGACCCCAGAGCAAGTTCCAGTGTGACAGCCCTGGGTCCCAGCATGCAGAAATTGGGTACCCAATAACATCCAGTGCTGGGGCTGTGGATTCCAGCACATCCCATTGCTGAGGCTATGGATCCCAGCAAGTCCCAGCACTGGGGCCACGGGTCCCAGCATGTCCCAGTGAGAACCCTGTGGGTCCCAGTACATTCCAACCCCTCCCAGCACCGTGAGAGGGAAACGGTGACTCAGAGCTGCCGGGCTGGTGGGAGCCGGGTGCCCCTTTGCCCCGGTGGGGTGAGTGTTGTGGCCACTGATCGCTCACGGCCACCGCCGGCTCCCCGGCAGCCGCAGCCCTGCACTGAGCTCAGCCACGCTCCCCTCCCATCCTCTCCCCTTCCTGCGTGCGGACACCCTTGGAAAGGCTCTTGGCCGCTTTCTCTGAGACAGGAAGGTGTCCCCGAGTCTCAGGAAGGAAAAACACTCAGTGCTGAACCCACAAAGACCGTCTCTGAGGGGCCAGGGCTGGAGAGGCTCCAGGCCTGACATCACCTGGGAACTGGAACTAGAACGCAGCTGCACTCCGTGCCTGGTATTTTTTTATTTTTTAACTTGTGTTTTTAAACTTTCTTTTTATAGATTTTTATTTTATTATTTTTTTTCCCCTTTCCCTTCTCCATTCCCCTCCCAAATATTTCAGCCTCCCCACAGGCTGGCCAGCCAGGCTGGAATGCAGCAGGGCTGCACCCGCGGGTGCCGGGAGCTGCCTTGCTGCTGGGATGGATGAGGCTGGGTCTGGCCAGGCAGGAGCTGCTGGGCAGGGGCCAGGCTGGGGCTCAGCCCCAGTGACAGGGGCAGCACCTGATAGCCCCTGGTACTGCTATGCACCAGGACTGCTGGAAAGGGATCCATGGCCATGCAGGGACACAGGAAGGTCAGTCTGGCCATGGGGTGTGGGAGGACAGAGGGCAGAGGGGTCAGGCAGAGCCTGCAGTCCGTGGGCAGTGCTGCTTTCCTGACCCACCAACCCCAGGATGGGGCTGTGGAGTCAAACCCTGTCTGAGTCTGAGTCAGCGGAGCAAGAGGAGGCAGACAGGGATAGAGGACACAAAGATGTATTCGGGGGCCAGGATCCAGCCCTACTCATTCCTTGTCCTCTGGCAACATCTTTGGGTGCTGCCTGACCCTCCCTGGGCTTCCCAGGGAGTCTCATGATAAAGACCCCAGTCTATCCTGGAGCAAAGCTCAGTTGCCTGTTGCCTGGGGAATCCTCCCTGTGACAGTGACAGCCATCAACTGAGTGTCACAGGTCCCTTTGAGCCCTGTTGCACCTGGGGGTGAAGGACTGGGAAGGGACCCCTAAGGTCTAGATGGCACTGAGAGTGGACAGGGTGACATATCTCTGCTGCCCAGGGCAGAGTGGAGAGAAGGATCAGGGAGGGATGGGATGGGACGGGACGGGACGGGATGGGATGGGATGACCAAGGGGCAGCACGATGGTCCTCCAGGTGGGGGTGCTGGGCATTGTCTACCTCCCCATGCCAGCAGACCCAGACTGTACTGACCCTCCAGCATCCTGCCAGGGTCTCTGGGGAAGAAAACGGGCAAAGGGGCTGCCTGAGACCCCCAAGACACCTGCCAGATCCTCACCATCACAAGGGATGCACAGCAAGAATGCCCCAAGGTCCCACATATCCCAGGGGCGCAGTGGGCACTGCTGCAGGGCTGCCACCACCCCGCCACGTCCCCACCATGCCCTGGACCCCTCAGAGCTGTTCGCCCTGCTGGGACCTCGTGCCAGCTGCGGTCCCTGGGGACACAAGCCCCGCAGCAGGGACAGGGTGTGAGGCCGTGGCGCGGGGTGAACGCCAGGTTAATCTCCCGCTGGAGCTTCCCTCTGCAAACAATAAGACAATGCCCGGCCGGGGCCGCCTGCGTAACCAGCGGCGCGGAGGGGAAGTTGTAATATTTGGATTTAGCCCTCAGTAAATTAAGGAAGAAAAAGGAAAAAACGCTGGGGGTAATCAGAGCAGGGCTGGCCCCGTGCCCTGCCCCACAGCCAGCGGCCCTGGGGGCTCAGCTCAGCCTGTGGACAGCAGGTGAGCAGGGCCAGAGGCTCTGAGTCAGAGAGGCCGGGCATGGATGGAAGAGGGATACGTCCCTGAAGGCCGGGCAGAGGACAAACGTGGGGACAAGCATGTCCCCACCATGGGGACAGCAGCCTGGAGGGTCAAGGCTTGGATACCCAGCAGGGCCGTGGGCAAACATCTCCAGCAACATCAGAAAAAAGGGATCTGGGCCAGGAGGTTATTTTAATCCAAACCTCTTCATGGGAAATATTTCTGCAGCTGGGGTGGCTGAGCAGGAGAGGGCCCAGGGGGTCGTCACCTTCAGCTGGCACTGGGTGGCTGGGGATGACAAGGGAGGGGGCTGTCCCAGGATGTCTCCATTGCACAGCCCCTTTCCCAGCACAAGCCCTGCAGTGGTGCTGGCTCCCTGGGATCCCACGGCAGGGCCCACACTCAATCAAACACGCACCCTGGCTGGAGATGGAGCTCTGAGAAAAGGTCTTGGTGAAGATCCTCAAGGCAGGAACAGTGCTGCAGGGATGGCCTTAAACCCTCCAAAATGTGCCCTATCCACACACCAGCAGCCCCACACCTCCAGGGCTGCCCCTGCCTGCCCTGGCTCCAATGGGGTGAGCAGGGCAGAGATACCCAGGGGAGCTGGTTTTGGGGGGCAGGACTGGACACCACCCTGCAGGATCTGAACTGGGGTATTGGGAGCCCTGGGAAGACACTTCCCCTGCTTGGTAACCCAGGGCAGTGTGGGGCGCGGGGCTGGCAGGAGGGTTGGGACAGGTGGGGCAGAGGTGACCAGCGGGCAGCAGCGGCACAGGAAGGCCTTCGGCACCGTGCCTCGCGCCGGGAGCCCATTTCCCCACAACAGGAGCCCTTATCAGCAGCAAATCCTCCGAGTGGTCCCAGGGGGGACCTCCAGCCCTTCCCCTCCACCTACCCCACCGCTCTCCCGCTCCGGCCCACGTCAATGCCGCCGCGAAGGTGTCGGAACAATCGCCTGACAAAGAGCTATTTTTAGGGGCCGGGGCTTGGAGCGAGGATACGGCCCGGCCGCTGACAATGGGGGGAAGGGGGCCGGGCTTCCCCCATGACCACTCGGCAGCAGAAGGACCTGTAAGATTTCCTCGATGACCCAGGCCCGTACAATACAAGGAAAGCGCGAGAGGGAGATACCCCCGCCAGGACGAGCTGCTCCTTTACCTAATGGGAGTGACCCGGGGTGAGGGGCTGCGAGCTTTGGGCCAGCGGCCTCCCCTGGGACTCCCACACCGGGGGGGAAGTGGGGTGAAGCCTGGCCGTGCTCAGCTTTCCATGAGGTCGAGGTGAGGGGAAGGCCAGGCTGGCTCCCTTCCGAAGGGCATGGGGAGATCTGGGGGGGTCAAAGGGCTGCAGACATAGCTCAGCACAACCTCCTCCCCTCCAGGCTGGCTCAGCTCAGGCCAGAGCTTGGACATGGGCTGGGAGGACAGTGACCAGAGCTGCGTGTCCCCAGCTAGCCCTGGTCCCAGTGTGCCATGAGCCCAGGCTCCTGCTCATCCTCAGGCTGAACCTGGATGCCTTTTCTCCCACCTCGAGGTCACCCCCAGCTCAGCCTGTGCCAGGTGGACCATTCTCTCTGGCCAGTCCTTTGGGGAAAAAAGGGATGTTCTGGGCTGCACGGCAAGAAATTGGGCTAAAAAGGTGAAAGGCAGAGAGAGAAGGTCACAGGGCACTGGAGGTCAAGGCTTGGCCCGGTTGCTCTCTCGGCAGAGGGATAAACCCGTTCCATGAACAGCGCCCGGGACCCCACAGACCGGGCGGGACGGCGGGACCCACCGCTCTGCGGCGGCCCGGGGCTGGGAGGGCCGGGCCGGGCCGGTGAAAGGGCCGGGAAAGGGCTGATAGAAGGGCCAGAGAAGGGCTGAAGAGCGGCAGGGACAGGGCTGTGGAAGGGCCAGGACAGGACCGTGGGAAAGACCGGGGGAAGGACCGGGACCGGGACCGGGGCCGGTGGAGGGGCCGGGGGCAGCGCCGGTACCGGGGCACCTCCGCAGGCCACAGTCGCCCCCTGGCGGCGGGCCCTGCACACAGCCCCACAGAGGGGCTGGGCCCAAGCGGCCGCAGCTGAGGATCGGTCCTCGCGCCGGCGCTGCGGAAGCCGACACGGACCCCGCCACCTTCCCGCAGTTCACGGGGACACACCTGGACACGAAGCGGGAACAAACCCGCGTCCTTCGCGCAGCGCCGCCACCACCAGGGACTACAACTCCCATAGCCCCCCGCGACGAGCTCCACCCTGCCCTGCGCACGCCCCCGCGGCGCGTGGCGGGGCCGCGCGGCTTCCGTTTCCGGCGCGCCTCGCTCTGGTCCCTGCGGCGGCGGCCGAGCCTTGTGCCTCCGCCATATTGTCTGTGTGCGGCGGCGGCGGCGGCGGCAGCGGCCGCGCCAGGTACCGGCGGCTCCGGCGCCCCAGCGGGGCCCCGCGGCGGTGGCGGGCGGAGCGGGCGGCGGGGGGGAGGCGCCGCTGCGCCTTCCGAGCTCCTCCGCCCCCCCCCCCTCCCCCGCCGTGGGCGCGGTGTGGGCCGGGGGGCCGCGGCTGCCCCTCAGGAGAGTGGGGCCGCGGCGGCGCTGACGGGGAGCGGGCAGAGCGGGCGGGTCCGGTGCGGCGGGAAGGGGCACGGCCCGCCGCCTGCTGCCCTCGGAGGGGCTGCGAGTCCCCGGGGAAGCGGGCAGGGGCCGTGGAGGGGCCGCCCCGCTGCCCCCAGCCCGGTGCGAGGCCGCCCTCGGCCGCGCAGGAAGGGCAGAGCCCCGCGGAACGGGAGCCGGCCCCTCCCCCAGCTCTACCCGCTCGCACGTTCGGGCCGTGTAGGTGTTATTTACCTAAATTGCTCTATCGTGCCTCTTCCCCGCCCTGCCCGGAGAAGCGGGGAGATGCGGAGGGGCTTGGAAAGGCCTGTTAGTGCTCGCTGCCACCCCCGGCTGCGCAGGGACTCCGTTCTGGGCCTTTCTGGGTGGAGGGGAAGGTCGTTCTCACGGCTTTCCGTACCAGTCTGTGCAAGCAGTGGTGGTCAGGCTTGCCCCCGCTGTAATTTAGTTAATTGTGCCTTGGGACCGAGAGCCGTGTGTCTATTGGTAAAATGTGGTTTGTAAGAGCAGGGTCAGATAAGATTATGGAACCCCATGTGTGTCAGATCACTTAATTCTTTCTTACTGAGGGCTTCGGGTAAAACCAATAAAGTTTGGATTGTGAATATTCAAGCAAAGTGGAGGGGCAGGCACTGACCTGTGGTCTCTGGTGATCGGTTGCAGGACCTGGGGGAATGACATGGAACTGTCTGCAGGTGGTTTGGGTTGGGTATTAAGAAAAGGTTTTTCAGCCAGAGGGTGGATGGAGACTAAAACAAGCTCCCCAGGGCAGTGGTAACGGCCCCAAGAGTTCAAGGAGCATTTGGACAAGGTGGGATTGCTAGAGTGTCCTGTGCAGGGCCAGGACTTGATGTTCTTTGTGGGTCACTTCCAGCCCTGGTATCCCTGAGAGGGGTCTCTCATGATTTGGATTTGTGTTGCTCAAACCTGCCCCTGGGCTGGGGCCTTGTGGGGCTGCTCTTGCACTGACCCTGGTGCCAGGCTGTGAAACTGGGCACGTGTCCTTGGAGAGAGTTGTGCCATGTGCTCACCTGGCTCCTCATGGAAGCTCAATCCTGGGTGCACTCCACAAATGGGCTGGGAAGAGCCCCTGCCAGAGGGAACTGGGCACAGTGGCAGCTGTTCAGAGGAAAGCAAGTGGACACCCAGCATTTCTGCTTGGGGCTGGGAGTGATTTCTTTGTTCTTTGAACACTCTCTCTTTTCTGAAAGAGAATTGCTCAAATTACTCAGACTCAGAGTTGGGGCTTGTGCCATCCTGCCAGCCATCCTGGGTGTTGGATGTGAATCCAGCGTGGATTCTGGGTGCATCAGCTGGGACAGGAATCACTCGTGCTGTGATTGCTGATTTGGAGTGATGTAGAAAAGGGCAAATTTGTGCTAGGAGAGGAGAGAGTGAGCTTGGCAAGGTGGGAGGCAAGATTTCGGGAAAGTGTGAAGCTTTATCAATTCCTTAATTAGCCCTAAAACTAGGATTAGGGTTATTCCAGCTGCTACAGCACGGGTTCTGTGGAGACACACACCATGTCTGTAACTCGAAGATGGAAATTGGGATTGGTGTGTCTGATCCCAGGTACAGGGCAGGCAGTGCTCTGCACTCAGGAGATCTGCCTAGGCCTTGTGCCTGGAATCCCTTTTCTCTTTGGATGACTCCAGAGAGGGAAGGGAAATTTTAATTGTAAAGGTCCAGACCTTTCCCTGAGCATGAAGAATGCCCATCTTTGGTGGTGGGCAGTGATCCTTTCCTTTCATCTTGCCAACGGGGAGAAGTTGCCATTATTTCACCTTTCTCTATTGATTTATGTCAATACCTGGCAGCATAATTTCTGTTGTTAGTGAAATTTGCTGTCGTCTTGTTCCCAGTGTGTGTGGTGGTTGAGTTGGGTGTTCTGCACTCAGAACAGAGAGCTTGGCCAGTCAGCTGCTGCCTGTGGGGAGTTGAAACAGGGTTGAGGAAGGGAACATGGTCTTCTGCAGCAAAGAAGCAAAAACTCATGCAGCTGAAGATCTGGGGATGAGGCACAGAGCATGGGCAATTGTGGTGAGAGGTAGATGTTGGAGGAGAAAGCAGACACTTCCAAGTGGGAGGGTCAGAACAGGTTTTTTTGGTTTGGCAGGGCTCATGGGTTCATAGATGGGGGAAAATGAGGCTTGTTGGATGTTGGGAATATGGCTCTTTGAAAAAGTGATGTTAAAACTGGCAGTAGGTCCTGGCAAATGTGGAGGAAATTGGATCATGGAGTGCTGCATGACACTAAGGTTGTTGAGGTTTGTGCAGGGAGAGTTACTGGTATTTGTTTGCTTGAAAAAAGTTGGTGAGATGCAAGAATGAAGATGCAAACCTGGGATTGGGAATTGACTTGGTAAATTACTATCTCCTGAAGGCGAGACATGGAAATATTTAGTGTTTGGTATTTGGGGCATTTTCAAGTAATGCAGATTAGGTTCATCAGCATGGAATGTGTTGGAAGTAGGAATCTTAGGATATATAAGATGTTGAAAGGTGATTATAGGTTTGTGGAGTTGTAGAGAAAGAAACTTTTCTGCTCTGATAAAAGGGACACATACCCAACTTTTCCCAATTTTATTAAATGGTGGGTGTCCTTCCACTTCCATTTCAGTTCTTCTCCATTTTCTCCTTACAGAACTAATTTTCTTTGTCTTTCCTCATGTCCTCTGAGAAATAAGAGAAAGGAAGACAGAAGAAGCAAATGGGTGACATTGTGGTGGTGTGATTAATTTTGTGTCACATTTCTGAAGAGGCAGGGATTTATTTCTGGGTTACCAGACCTATCACCTCCACTGTTCCTCCATTATGGAATTGCTTACATTAAGATATCTGTTTTAGATCTCTGTGCATGAAATTGTTGCCACCTTAGATCTTACTGTCCCATAAGGGTCTTGAGAGGGGAAAAAAAAAAAAAAATATTGTAAGATCAGGAGATACTGCAAACATTTGTTGCAAGACAGCTCTTGGATAATTTTTCTAAACTTGGATATCTCCTTCCAGGGGCTTCCAAGAGCTGACTTCCCTGGAATTTACAGAATGTAATTGGAGAAAGGGAGTTCTCCTTTGAACCTGAAAAACTGCTTGGAAGAGGAGGCTGCAGCTTTTTGAGCTGGTGTCAGTGCTGTTGCTGAATGTAAAGTGTTTTTTCAAGCTGATTCTTGGCCCCTTTTTCCATCAAGGTGCCAAACTTGCATATTGGTAGGAAAGATTGATGAGAAGTGGGATTGTTGATGTGGTCATGGGATCAGTGGTTTGTGGATATTTTCTGGTTAGGAGTCCAGCAGAGAAGCAGCAACATGAGCCTGGCCCATGTCTCATCTGCTCCTGTTTTCACACCGTTCTGGACAAATGGTTTTATTACCCATTTCAAACTGCTGCTTTGAGAGGCTGAAGAGCAGAAGGGAAGCTTGGAGTTCTTTGAGGACTTGGTACCACCACAGACTCACATTTGGAAGGTTACAACTTCAATAATTTTAATTTTCCACGGAGTTGAGTTTTGAGATTTAGGTTATGTCCTCCTTACTGAGTTCTATTTTTTAATTAATACTACCATTTACAGGGAGGTGGTTTCTAAAGCAGGCTGTCCAGTTCCTGCCTATGTAATGGCTGTATCATATTATGGCAGTTTATTTCATGTGAGTGGTGAATAAATTGTGTCCTAGATGAAAAACAATTTTGAGTCAAGGCAAGAGTTTGGCTGCAGGTTTCCCACTGGATAGTCTGAAGTGTTAACAGAAGACCTAGAAAATTGAAGTTACTCACTCTGTTTTTGCAGAGAAGTAGGCTCTGCCCTTGCACCTTCTGGAAAAACCAAAGGCTAAATTAGTCCTCTTTTAATTAAGCCAAGTTCAGGGAGAATCCAGCATGCTAATACAGAATTACATGCCAGAACTTGCTTTCCCTGGGTGGGAAAGGTCTTCCTGTGGTGGGAAGAAGTGGCCCCAAATCCTCTTGTGTGTCCAGGGAGCAAAAAGGTACCTCTCTCTGTTGTTACCAAAGCCTTTGGAGAAGGCATTTTCTCAGAGCATATTTGCACATGTGCGTGTTGAGTTGTCAGAAAGTCTTTATTTTTAGTGTTCAGAAAATGGATGAGCGTGGACGCGCACAACAAATTAATTTCCAGTCTAGAAAATCAAGAGCTCCTGCAGTGTTCCTTCTCTTGCAGCCTTTTTCACAGGTTTCTCTATCTGTTACCAGTGTGCTGTTGAATTCCAGCCTTTCTTCCATGCTTGGTTGTACTCCAGAAGGAAAAAGAGGGCTTTCTGCTCACTCTGCAGCATCTAGATTAATTTCAATTGAGCTTACAAATGAAGTTACAAGTTTTGGCACAATGGCTTTACTGGGGGCTTGTAAGGTATAAAAGAGAGTGCTGATTGCTGGAGTTTAATAGCTGAGGTTTTTTTCCATTTGATTCTTGGAATGGTGGTAGGTAGTTTCATCTTGTGTTAATAATGATAAATTTTTCAAGAATTATGTCAGAACTTCACTTGCTGGCAGGGGTTTGTACCAGGTGCCTCTTGCTGAGCCTGCTTGAAGCTGGCTGAGGGTTGGAGGTGGTTTGTGGTGCATTGCCTGCTCCATGGAACAGCTGATCACAGGGATTTCTTGAAGAAATGGTTACAGGCAGTGTCCTCTGGTTTATCCTTTCACTCTGGTAATTGTTCTTGCCTCTAGGAATTGCATGATCAGATCAATTAAAACTCTATAACTTCTACAGATGGTTGGTACAGGTCAATTTTCTGAGTTCTGCCTAAATCCCTCTCTGTACATGAACCATAGGAGTCAAATCAGCTG